CTGGAATACTACATACAAATGCATGTACAACAGGATCTGAATTCACATTTCAATAAACATACAAAAGATAAAAAGCTGTTTACAAGAACTTCACCGGCAATTTCTGTAAAGCTTTCTGTTTATTTCTATAATTATGTTTTGATTTGTATATAAATACACACATTTAAGTATACAAATAAATGAATGAAACGGTGGAATCAGGAAATGAACACCTCGAGAGAAGATTTAGCAAGCCAAAGCAATCCAGGATCGTTCCTTTTGAGCACCAAATAAGCTTCAGCAACACCAACCGCATCTACTACAACATCTTCCATGAAGCCCACCGTATTGAGAACCTCCATTGCAGCTGTTCGTAAGCAGAAGATCATCAGCTTATAACATCAAATATGCTACAAAAAATTTAATAATTATGTTATCCGCGCATAGAAGGTACATAATGGACATAATGTGAGGATATATGACCTTTATAATTTGCCACATTCCTCTGAAAATGTGCATTATCCTGCAAGATTATCAATAAAATACAGACGGTTGAGTGGCCTCTATACATAATAAATAAAAAAATTTCCAAAAAAAAGGAAAAGAAAGTGTACTTTTCTTATTCTTCTGAATTTTTGTTCACCTGGGTGGTCTATGATATTCCTGCAGTGAAATTACACAATGTTTGGAAGCATAAAACTAAGCCATAAAGAACGTAAATAGACATAAGAATCAAATTGATGTTATTAGCATCATAAGAAAACCTGATGATCTTTGAGAGTGTCTGAAGAACCGAGGCAGCAGCATGAGGAGTTAATTCAGATCTCAGTAACTTGATGGATTCTTGAATCCGAGCACAGATGGCAGCCACAGGCTCTTCAATTCTTTGCAATTCTAAATTGTCTGCATCCAAGGAACTGATCAACCCTCGTTTCACTTCACGCACACTTTCGTGTGAAACCCCTTCAGCTTCGTTATCAGGATCAGGTTCTTCACTTCTTATTCCAGAAATGAAATCCATTCGCTAGTTTGTTTAGCAGCATCATAAGCATCTGGTTCTGTTTCATTCTTCATCAGATCACCGATTTGAGTTTGAGTAAGTGCTGAATCATTTGTTTCACGTGCTGGAAGGAATTTCTTGTGCCTGCCACTTAGTGTTTTATCAGAATAAGATTCATCAATGGAAGAATCCATGGAACCATCTGGAGCATCACCATCATCCTCATCTATCATGGTAATTTCTAAGGAGGGCGCCAAACTTTCATGTATGATACCAGCATGCATTAGATCAGGCTCAGAACTTTCGTCATCTCTAACATGTTTATGTTTTTCGTCAGCACGTTCATTGTCAAAAGAATCATTAACAGCATCCACCTGTACAGATTCATTCCCCGCTTGAAACTCCGACGAGGTACCCATACTCGAACTCATATAGCGACGGAAAGCAGCTGCTACAGAGGATGTGCGTGCAGTAGAAAATGAATTAGATCCTCCAAGCTTGTGGCCTACATCAGCAGCCTCCAAAAGGTGATCTACGTCATCCTTATAATAATTGGAAACCTTGTGGCCACTTAAAGTGCGACTTCTTGACTTTGACCAATCTAGGCTTGCAGCTTCATCATTCAGCTAATAATACCAAATAAAATAAAAATTAGGATTTTG